AAAATGAACCCAAACCGATGCAGAATGAAGGTTCGGGGGCCGAAACGCGCAGCCCGAGCGGAGTGTCGGCGACCAGGAATTGAGACACATTTCGTCACTCGGAGTACGAAACGTACCTCGTTTCCCGTGCCCGGGCTAACTCCTACCCCAAGCACAATGCAATATGCATGAGATGAATGAATGCAACTAATATACAACCTAGCATGCACAATGCTATGAAATGGCATACACGATGCACGAGGTAACATGGCATACACAATGCGCTAACATACAATCTAGCATACGCAATGCTATGAAATGAGATGGCATACACAATGCAATATGGGCTTACACCAACACAAGTGGGCTTCAGCCACACTCACATAGGAGGCCATTAGATGAAAATGAGACAACTCGAGATGCGTGCACGCATGCACGCAAACCGAGGACCGACCCTAAGGCACCAAATGCCACTCTAATAAGACATGGCAAGGCATGAAAAATGGCATTCAAACATGCAGGTTTCAGCAGCAAAACATGACCCAAAACAGCCCCGAATCATAGGAATATGGCACCCGATGCATGAAATGGTCCCGAAATACAAGATTAAGCTCATGAAATGACTTGTAGCTACATCAAGCATGCATTATTTGATCATGACATGTGAAGACAGATTCAAGGAAGCCCCAAAACAAGCATGTTTACAGTTCTAAGCGAGGCCAAACAGCAAACACAAATAGGGAAAAACTAGCATGCAAAAATAGCCCTAAATGTGAGATAAAGAAGCAACTCACAGCTGCTGACCCCAAACAGATTAGGGGCCTTCAAAAATATTGAAGAGGGACCCAAAATATGATGTTTTACAGTTTATGGCAAACCACAAAAATCAACACAGGTATGGCTAAGCTCTCATGCAAGAAAAGGGCCAAAAGATGGACAAAGAAGCAAGTAGTGGTTGCTGGCCTTAAACACAAAGGGGCCCTTCAACAATGTTGAAGAGGGGCCAAAAATAATGCACTTTACAGTTGATGGCCGGACCCAAAACAGTATGAAAGAATGTTCAAAATGCTATGCAAAATAAGGCAAAAAATAGGGATATAACACAAAGTATATAAAAGATGCCTCAAACCATGAAAGACCCTTAATGAAACATGAAGAGTGGGTCAAAATAAGACTGTTTTCAGTTCTGAAAAGAGACCAAAAACAGAAGCATCCGAGGCTAACAAATCATGCAAAAAAAAAATGGCCAAAAGAGAGATATAATGACAAGTAGTAAATGGAGGCCACAAACAGCAATGAGCCCTTCAACAATGTTGAAGAAGGGCTCAAAATAAGCAACTCTTCAGTTTATGACATGCCTCAAAACAGATTATACATAAGCCTAAAATACTACGCAAGAAATAAGCATACAAGAGGGATAATGAAGCAAGTGCAAGATGGGGACCTCAAATGACAAAAGTCCCTTAATGAAACATGAAATAGAGCTCAAAAAAACACTACTTTCAGTTATGGCCGGAGCTCAGATTTACAAGAAAGAGAGGCTAAGAAATGTTTCAAAAAATGAGCTAGAAAGAGGGAAATGGTAACTCACCCTTGTAGACCAATCTTTAGCAACTTCTTGGACCAAATTTGCTGCCTCCTAGCCTCTGAGAAGACCTCCAAGCTGCTGGAAATGGAAGTGGTGGTGTGGTGCTAGGTGATGGTGTGTAAAAATGGTTAAGAACTTAAGGGGTTTTGAGGTTTAGAGTAGAGAGAGAGAGAAATTTAATGAGAGAGCTCAAAACCAAAATTCTCTAACCCCCCAACACAGCTGGGAGCTGCTGGTTTTATAAGCAAAAGAGTTGGAAAAGAGGGGGAAAAAAGGGGGGGAAAACGATTCAAGTTTCCCCCCAAAAAAGGCCAAAAAGTGGGATATAAAGGCAAGTAGTAGCTTCTGGACCCAAATGGCCGAGAGCCCTTCAAAAAAGTTGAAGAGGGGTTCAAAACAAGACACTTTGTAGTTTATGACCAAGTCCGAAACAGCTCACAAGTAAGCCTAAAATACCGTGCAAAAATAGGCCTAAAAGAGCGTTAAAGAAGCAAGTGATAGGAGGAGATCTCAAACAGCAAAAGGTCCTTAACAAAACATGAAAAGGACCTCAAAATATGACTATCTCAAGTTCGGGTCGGAGTCCAAAAATGTAGAATGAAGGTTCGGGAGCCAAAACACGCAGTTCGAGGCCCCGAAAGTGGGCTGTTAGGCACCGGAAGTTGTGTTCGACCACAAAGTTGGTCTCTCGGACCGCAGTGTCCCTCAAAAGGGAGTAAATAAGATGCATGCCAAAAACTGGAGCAAACGGAGGTGGTTAAACGGTCCCGAACCGAGGCACACGGCCAACGGCTCCGAAAAATTGGAAACCGGACTCCAAACGGGCAAAACGGCCTACGACCACGAAACGTAGCCTATGGCCAATAAGAGATGATCTGTGAGACCTCTACCTCCCTTTGGGAAGAGAAAACAGAGAAAACGGAGCCTGGTTCGCAAACCGAGGCAAAGCACAAAAGAGTCTGGAAGTCCAGAGGTAAGGCTCGCAGCCGAGACTCTGAAACTTCTGAACGAGCACAATATGCAATATCACCGAGCGCTCAACTGGTGACGTCTGAGTCTCAAGGTCGGTCAAAAATGGGGTGTCTACAGCAGCTCTAAAGGTATTACCTCAAAATTTTCTCCAATAGTAAAATTAGCAGTAAAAAGAAGCACTTACTTTTAGGATTTTGATAATTAGTGCTATTACCTTTACTGAGTTAAAATTGACTTTAACAAAGAATTCATTTGTTAATATATAAAAAGGAATTCTCAACTACTGATGTATGTTTATATTTATCACACTGATGCTTTGAAATTAGTTCCTAGGGGTTATTACACTTTGCGCCCAAAACACATATGCCCTTGTGGTTCAAAAGTGAACAAATGATGCCCATTAAGTTTGGACTGAAGTAAAAAATGGATGGAAATTGGTATCATTAACAGCACATGTACACACGGTAATTGGATTAGGTGAGACAGTAGTAAAAAGACAAATTTTCCCTTATTTTGTCTGAAGAAAAAAGAAACTCACCAGTTTCATCCATTTTTCTTTCTATACTTCCGTCCAGCTCCTCCCTTGCATTTGTCCCTTCCCCTTCAACTCACCCGACCCCACAACCTCCTTTCACCCCCTACTGCACCATACTAACTCCACCCATCCAATTTTTCCAGTCGTCCCTCCTCATTTGCAGTTCATCCTTACCTCCTCTACAACCAATATAGTCCAATCTTATTGTTGAGTGATTTCCCAAACCCAAATTAAAATCCAAATATTTATATAGGGAATGACATGTATTCATGTCCAAGTGATAGAAAAGACATAAACTTCCTTCCTTTTCCTTCATTTTCTCAGCAACCAAACAGTAGACATCCAAAAAAAGAAGAAAAACCTAATTCCCACACTCTATTTATATGCAACATATACAAATTTTTCCTACCAACTTTTCTTCCAACGTCAACAATAATTCATCTTACCCTCTATATGGCAAACACTACACAATGACATTCTCAAGTCAAGTTATTCCCCAAACTTTGACTGGTTATAGATTGTTATTTCAGGGATACCAGAACATTAATCTTCATTCCTAGATAATATGTGATCTTGAATCTGTAATTATTTTGTGCAACTACCACTAAATTGTGATTTCTCCATTTCTCTTTCTTTCATAAAAATGAAATGAATGTCATCCATAGGTGATCAAATTTCTTGAAACCCACAAAAGAACTGACTGAAGCTATAAAATTAGGGCAAATTTCAGAAGCACTGTAAAGTAACAATTAAGGAAAATTTCAGGGGAAAAAAGCTAATTACCTTTCAAGAAATTGGACTGTGCAGCGAAGACGACAGGAATGGAGTGAAATTTGTGGGTTTTGAGCTTGCCGAATCAAAAACTGTGAAGCTGTATAGGTTTTTGTGAGACAGAAAACAGAGCCGAGAGGGAGAGAGAGGATCTCAGGCGACGGTGACCAACAAAGAGGTGAATCGGTGCTCCGGTTGCCGGCCAACGCGAGGAGGAGCGGCGGTGAGAGTGGAGGGGATATGAGCGGCGGTGAGAGAAAGGGAGAAGGACGCTGAAGAGAGAGAGAGAGAGAGAGAGAGAGAGAGAGAGGCGCTATTAATGGTTCAGGGTTGGGTTTGGTTTGGTGAGACCGTGAGATGTTTTTATATAAATGGTTTTTGGCGACTATCAATATTGGTCGCTAAAGGTATTTTATAAATCCCTTTCAAATGTCCCTCCAAAACATTTTACTTCTTTGGCGACTAACATTCAATTTCGTCGCTGAAAATCACCTTTTGGCGACCAAACTTTTGGTCGCCAAAGATAAAAATTAATTTTTTATTTTACATTTGCCGACTAAAGGTTTTAGTAGCCAAATCTATACCTATGGCGACTAAAATTCAATTTCGTTGCTGAAAATCAACGTTTGGCAACCAAAAAAGATCAAAAATTAATTTTTTATTTTCATTCCGCTACCAAACAATTTAGTAGCCAAAAGTGGGTCTACAACGACTAAAAAGGAATTTTGTCGGTGAAAATATATTTTTGGCGACCAAAATTTTGGTCGCCAAAGATCAAAAAATAATTTTTGTATTTTCATTCAGCTACTAAACAATTTAGTAGCTAAAGGTACCTCTATGGCTACTAAAATTTCTTTTAGTCGCCAATTGTGATATGTTTAGCTACTAAAATATTTTTTAGTCGCCAATTGTAATATTTTTAGCTACTAATTTTTTTTTAGTCGCCAATAATCAACATTCCCCTACTAAAAAAAATTAGTAGCTAAAAACTTGACTTTTGCGGACTAATATTATTTTTGGTAGCCAATTCCATGACATTTGGCGACTAAATTGTTTTTGGTAGCCAAAAATGGTCGGCAAAAATGCATTTTCTTGTAGTGCCCCCCCTCTCTCTCTCTCTCTCTCTCTCTCACTCGCACACACAAGGTTGGCCTTGAGTTTTCGGGAGCCTAAGCTGAAACAAAAAAAAGGGGACCTATATTCATTAAAAACAAAATCACCCTGTTTGGTATTACTATCACCGATTGATACCAAAATAGATACCAAAATGTATTCATTCCGGAGTACCAAAAAAAAGATAAAAGAAAAAAGAAAAAAATTATCAAAATGTATAGTTCAAACCAGCTAAACAAACTAATTAATCAACATATCTAATTAATGAAATGTTCCAGAGGTGTAAAGCAAACCTAAATGATTTCACATAGTGTTAAATTTTTTTTTTTTTTATCAGCTTCACATTGTGTTAAATTGAAGAGTGAGATAATAATTTTGCTTCATCAGCAGTGTGAAGCAAGCATAAATGAAAAGAAAACATGGCTATATAATCAATTTTCCTTTCAAAAACACACAATCCACTCACTATCTGATAACTGATAGCAAAGAAATTATGGAATACAATTTAATGAAACAAAATTAGGGCAAAAAAATTAGGGAAACATTATTCAATAAAAATATGATAATGACAAAGGGTAAAAAAATTAGGAAAGAATTATTTATTCCATTAAAATCTAATACTTTATGAGAGAGAAAAATTATGGCAAAATTATTTATTCCATTATTTTGGTCAACTATACTTGTATATGTTTTAATTCATTTTTTTCAATTGGGCCTAACCACATTCGTGATTAAATATATATTTTTTAATTGGGCACAACAATTTTTTTTGAAACCCTTTAGACTGGCCCTAAATCAACAAAAATAAATTAGGCTTATTTAAATTTTAAATATACTACTAATGAATGAATTTTAGAGCCTAAGACACAAGTCTTAGTGGCCTTAGACCAAGGCCGGCACTGCACACATATACATACACACGCATCCATTTGGGAAATAAGGGCGCATGGTGGGCGGATTTGTGGTGATGTGAGGGTTTGGCTTGATTCCGGTGGTAAGAAAGGGAGTCATTGGTAGGAAATGAGGCTAGGGGTTGGTGGTCGAAGGTGGAGCAATGTCACTTAGAGGTAGTGGTTGGGGGGTGGGGTAAAGTTTTAATAAGGGTGTAATGAGAAATTAGGAGGTTAGTGATGAGGGTGTGGGTAGAATTATGAGTGCAAGATGATAAGATAAAAATTTTAAATTTTGAATGGGTTGTAATTAGAAGAAAAAAAAATGAGCTAGGAGTTTTTTTTGGGTATAAATAGAAGCTTCTAAAAAGAAAAGAAAAGAAAAGAAAAGAAAAGTGCTATTAGCACTTGATTAATGCAAAAATTAGACGAGATAAGTCTATTTTTATTAAGTATTTTCTTTTGTTTGTTTCTCACCAAATTTTTTACCAATAGATACAAAGGTAGTGGGAAGCATATTAATAAATATTTGTGAGACTCATGCCTCTGAGTAATAATAAAATCATAAAAAATATTCATTTAAATATATAAATAAATCTCTCCCAATTTCCCTTTTTTTTCACAAAACAACACCCCATTAAAAAAAATCCCAAAAATAAACTCTAAGGTAAAGTTTGGTTTGCTAAAATAATTTTAGACAAAAATCGAATAACTATTCCTTGGCATTCAGGTTAAAATGATCATTCTTTTTAATTGATGAATGATATTCCTTTTTATTATTTTTTTATTATTATACCAAATAGAAGAATAAATATTCCGATGGAATGGAACCATTCCAAGCTTATTGCCAACTTTTTTCTAATGAACATAACACTGCATAAATAGAAAGCCACGCAAAAAGTATTCTAATAAATCATCTTAAAAAATATCCCAAAACGAAATATATGAGATAGATTCAAATTTGTTACGGTATGGATCACACTCAAAATAAATTTTAGGGAAAATTGGTCTAGGGTCCCTCTCCCACTTTTCATAATGGAAGGGATCCACAAAATTATTTTTTGATGTCTAAAGTCCCTCCCATCTATCACAGAGAAATTCAGCCCCCTTCATTTTGTCTACTCTCACGCACACACACAGACATGTACATATATACATAAAGAGGCGGTAAGTAAGCTTGATTTGAGTAGAGAGAAAGTCGAAGGTGATCGATTGTGTCGGAATAGTCGCTGTTGTCACAGTCCGGCACCGGAGGCTAGGGTTTGTAACGGGGCGTCTCTACGGCCTCGCAACTGGATCGACCATGCTTGGTTCCGCCACGGACCGTCTTGTCCTCCGTCGTCTTCCTCAGCCTCTTTGGCCCGATGTCAAGGCAAATAATGTTAAGGTCGTTCTCGTTCAAAACACCTTCACCAGAACCCAATCTTAGACCATTGGAGTCTGGCAGTAAGGTTACTGATTTGTCACGGTCACATAAGCAACAACATAGTCATTATACTCCATCACCAGAACCTGAAACAAAAAAATTACTTTTTTTCATAGCTAGCCTCTCTCTTCTCTCTTTTTTCTTTGTCTTTTGTTCATCAATATTAGTTCCAGAGAAATTCAAAATTTCTTTGGAGATAAATTCAGAGCAGAATTTCTCTGTTGATTGGTGTGAAATGGCAAGAGTAAATGGAAATGTGAAACATCAGTACAGCCACTTACAACAGTAGCAACAATGGTGGAGGATCAAACCCACGGCAGAGAAATTTGAATTTTCTCTAGAGTCCATGAAATTGTGATTGAATTGTGATTGAAGAACTATTAATTTGTTTGTGCAGGAAATTGTGATTGAATCAGCAGCAGTAGAACCAAAGATAAATTGATCAAATCAGAGTTTTATAGTTCCAGAGAAAATTCAGAATTTCTCTGAGTTCAACCCAGAGAAAATTCAAATTTCTCTGTTTAGTAGCTTCTCATCTTGCAAATTTGCAATGATTATGTGGGTGATAAAGTTCCTAATAGACAAAGCAGTTCCTCTGAGTTGGGACTTGGTGGACATCCTCGTAATCTCCTAACTATGCAAAACTGTGTGTGCGCGTGTGTGCATGATACATAGAGGGAAGTCGGTACCGTGCCTATTTTCAATGAGGTACAGCCCAATCTTGAAGAACTTTGTGACCTTATCAAGGTAAGAGTGGCCATGTGGATGAAGTCAAATCTGGTGGGAAGAGATTATTTAATTAACCAATTTGTATCAAATTTGGAGAATGGAAAGTCTAAAGAAATTTGGAAAAAATTTCTCTGGAGAGCGGGATGTCCAGAGAAATTTCGAGAGAATTTCTCTGGCCCACTGTAATGGTGAATTTCTCTGGTTTGAACCAGAATATCTAGCATTGTATACACCTTAGAACCATACAAAGCCTACAAACATAATGACTCTTGTACTTAGCTTATAGAAATCATATATTGTAATAAGCAGGGCACATTTGGCTGCTATAGATTCTTCTTACCAAAACATGTATGGGAACTCACTGAAAAAGGTAATTTGTTCTTAATGTCGTCAGGTATAAATAGAAGCTTCTAAAAAGAAAAGAAAAGAAAAGAAAAGAAAAGTGCTATTAGCACTTGATTAATGCAAAAATTAGACGAGATAAGTCTATTTTTATTAAGTATTTTCTTTTGTTTGTTTCTCACCAAATTTTTTACCAATAGATACAAAGGTAGTGGGAAGTATATTAATAAATATTTGTGAGACTCATGCCTCTGAGTAATAATAAAATCATATAAAATATTCATTTAAATATATAAATAAATCTCTCCCAATTTCCCTTTTTTTTTCACAAAACAACGCCCCATTAAAAAAAATCCCCAAAATAAACTCTAAGGTAATGTTTGGTTTGCTAAAATAATTTTAGACAAAAATCGAATAACTATTCCTTGGCATTCATGTTGAAATGATCATTCTTTTTAATTGATGAATGATATTATTTTTTATTATTATTCTAAATAGAAGAATAAATATTCCGATGGAATGGAACCATTCCAAGCTTATTGCCAACTTTTTTCTAATGAATAAATAGAAAGCCACGCAAAAAGTATTCTAATAAATCATCTTAAAAAATATCCCAAAATGAAATGAAATATATGAGATAGATTCAAATTTGTTACGGTATGGATCACACTCAAAATAAATTTAATCTACATATTTTATTTTTTCAAAAATCTCTTAAATTTTTTTTTTTTTTGGGAAGTGCATATGGAAAGTAGTATTGCATAAAAAGATGTACATGTATAATTTGTAAAGGAGTAGGTACAGTTACCAGAAGTGGAGGAGTAGGTACTGTACTACTAGTGCCACTGGGTGGGACCTAAGAGAGTTGAGGAGTAGTGTGTTTGATGACACAATTAGGTTTGGAGAGTCAGTTGATGCATGCATGCAAGCAAATAGCTTTGGAGAATGACTTATTTCCTTTCCAACACTGGCGTGAGCTTCTACCTATAAAAAACTAACAATACAGCTGAGCTGACTCTATATATACCACCCAATACATATGACCCTGACCCCACTAAGATGGTAACTTTGAATGAAAACCCAAGTAAAAAAGAGATTTTCGTCATTGCAAACACTCCGTTATGACAAAAAAGTTCTTATATTGGTTGCCATAATAAAAATCAATATTTTAGTGGTTTTATTAGTAGTGGTGATAGTAGAAATAGTGTGGTGGTGGTGATACTAGAGATGATAGGGATGGTGGTATTAGTAAAATTTTAGTTTAAAAAATATTTTTTTACCTTTCAAAATTGTAGAACATTGTTGCTCCATGTTACAATACGTCAAAAAATAAGAAAAATATTTTTTCACTGAAACAAATCTGGTGTAGATAACCACTATCCACCATCCTCCCTAGCCTTGCAAAAGAACCCCGCCATGATCCAGCTACATAATAATAGAGGCATTGAGGTTATGAATTTATCAATTTCCCATATTATATGTACATGTATTGAATACGCAATGTAAAAACTGAAAAATAGGGTGTACTAGGAGAAGGTTTATCTGTAAACCCAACAGCACAGCAACCATTACCAAGAGTACAACTGCTCACTCAAATCAAACTTAATTTTATTTAGAATCTAAAATAACCATCCAATGCTAAAATTTGTACATGCAGCACCAGCCGTTGAAATAAGAAAATCACCCTTCCATGAGAAAAAGATGAAAATCACAATAGAACAAAATGAAAGTCTTAGAAACAGAAAGCCCAGGATGCTCATAAAAATCATCTCTCTCTCTCTCTCTCCACTAACGCTCTATCTGTATCGTCACATGACTGATATTATACTCCCTCCTAATATAGTCAATCACTTTGTCTAGCACCATGTCTGCATCAGCTTCAGGCCTTACTTTGACATGGCAAGCCAACAGAACCTTGCCTACTGTAATGGCCCAGATGTGCAGCTCATGGATGGCCACCACGTCATCAAGCTCACATAACCCCATCTCAAGTTTTGTCGCATCAATCTCTCTGGGTGTGCTCTCCATCAAAACTTCAAGTATGTTTCTCAGCATCTGGATAGTTGTCCCCAAAACAATAACGGAGAATATGAGGGTGCAAATCAGATCAATTATCTTCCACTGGGGTTTATACCAAATGATTGCTCCTCCAATCATTACTCCAACACTCTGGATGGAATCCCCGAGTACATGGAGATAAGCTCCCTGTAAATTGATGTTCCGCTTCTTTTGTTTTTTGCTCTTATCTTGGGAAGAAGTATTATTGAGCAATTGTTCAACCAGATCTTCCTTGTGAGCATGGCCATGCTCTTCATCTCTTGGATGTTCCTCGTGACTATGGGGACGTGTGGTAATTCGCACTCCATGCTTGTGATCATGATCATTATGGCCATGGCTGCGACTATGACCGTGACCGTGACTGTGACCGTGGCTGTGGCCATGGCCACTGTGGCTATGGTCATGACCCAACAGGGCAGCCATGCCAATGTTTACCACCAGACCAAAAGCAGCAACAATAAACATAAGGAAGCCATTGACCTCATCTGTTTCATGGATAAGCCTTACAATGGCTTCGTAAACTAAAACCCCTGCTAGCAGCCATATGAGCTGGATGGAAACCAGAGCACCAAGAATCTCTACCCTTAAAAATCCATAAGACTGACGAGGAGTGGCTTCCCAGCCAGCTGCCCACAAAGAAAACAGTGAGATAGCAAAAGCTGCAACATCTGAGAGAAGATGTGCTGCATCAGTTAAAATTGCAAGACTATTGGCTTCGATGCCTCCAGCAACTTCGACGCCCATGAAAACAACACAAAGTGCAACTGCTATAATAAGCTTCCACATGGAAGCTGATCGTTCCATGGCATCCTTGGAGCTCGTCGCAGCATCTGCGAATCCACAAGGGGCTTCGCCACATATCTTGCTCCCTCCGAGGCTCCTCTTTCCAACAGGAACTTCACCACTTACCTCAATAATCTTCCCATGTTGGCGAGTATTCTCTTCCACCCGAATGCAGACAGCATCTGACAATCCACAAGGGGCTTCACCACATATCTTGCTCCCTTCAAGGCTCCTCTTTCCTCTTTCCCTCAGGAATTTCACCACTTATCTCAATAATCTGCCCATGTTGACAAGTATTTTCTTCCATCTGAATGTAGAAGAATAACACTGTCATAAATTTCGATCTTAAACAAAACACATATCAGTATGACTGAAACAAAGGTTCCCATCATAGATCAAACAAAGATGTACTATGTCAAATTGCCTACACACTTTAGGTTAACCATTTAGTAATCATCATGAGCTTGTATATTTAAGTACGAATTTCAAAAAAAAAATATGTTAGGTTAAGGAAAAATTACATATACACCCTTGGGCAAAGGCCCTCCCTCAAATGATTTATGCATGAACATATATTTACTAGAAGACACTACGTGTGCAATTGAAACTGTCGAGACGGGAATCATGGGTGGGTGAGAGTGAGGAGAACCAAGTGAGTTGTGTGCTTTATATAATAGAATAGATATATAATTGGACCAACCTAAATAAAATCCATATTGATTGGGTCTCAAATGTAAGGGTCAGATAATCATTTTTATTGTAATATCGTGTTAGTCATGTGAAATTTTTCCATCTGAATTCCTAAACAGAGTGTTAGTGAAACAGCATATGTAATATGTTAAATTGCCTACACACTTTAGGGTAACCATTTAGCAATCATCCTGAGCATGTATATTTAAGTACAAATGTAAAAACAATGTTAGGTTAAGGAAAAATTACAAATACACCCTTGTTTGTGCCAAGTCCCTCCCTCAAATGATTTATGCATATATATTTACTAGAAGACACTATGTGTGCAATTGAAACTGTCAATACAGGAATCAGGGGTGGGTGAGAGTGAAGAGAACCAAGTGAGTTGTGTGTTTTATATAATAGAACAGATATATAATTGGACCAACCCAAACAAAATCCATATTGATTGGGTCTCAGATGTAAGGGTCAGATAATCATTTTTATTGTAATGTCGTGTTAGTCATGTGAAATTTTTCCATCTGAATTCCTAAACAGAAGAGTGTTGTGAAATAGCTGGACTACATTGACACAAAGAACAAATTGGAACCAAACCCAAACTTCCTGGCTGTACTTTGTAATCTACCCAAAATTTGACGCACAGTACAAATACCATTGTAGTTGTCATCAAGGATAATTTTTTATTTTTATTTTTTTTAACCGGGTGTCCGGGCCAGCTTACGCACACCTCGACTAACATGACTGAAGAATTCAATACAGAATAGGCAGGACAACATCTAGTGAACTAGAACAAGAACGTCCACAATGAAGTAGAGGATTGTGTATAACCCAAAGAAAATAAACAATCAAATGATTAAATAAATAAACAAAAACAATAGATTATTAATCAATTGGTAGTGATTGAATGATTGAATTTCTTAACCATTTCCTTTTCTTTCTTTTTCTTTTTTTTTTTTTGATCAAAGAAAAAACTGCAGTTAGGCTCACTATTTTGTGTGGCAGCCTGGCTGGCGATCATCAACAACAAAACCTTCATAACAGAATGTTAAGGCATGGAACAAAATACAAGAGTTCTAAGGCTTTTTTTTGAAGTTGTGTTTTCTTTTAATATGTAAGTTCTAAGCAGTAACCACATTATCCAAGGATTTGAGTTTCAAATTCCAGCAGTATAAGTTCCAATTTTTTGCTGAGGATTTGACATAAATGGGGATTGAGAAGACAACAAAAGCATATACTCTTCACCTTGTAATGATGATAACATTCTTGTAATGACAATAGAAGAAGAATGACTCCAATCAAGTACTTGTTATCGTGGAGATTTAGATATATAAAGGCTTCACTTTCTAGTCATTTTTTTAAGATACAATGGATTCAAATAAACAGATAAATGAATAATGTTGATTATGATGTTTCTTATAAGAATGAATTGGAGAGGAACATGGCTTCAATCAAGTATTTGTTAATGAGGAGATTAAGATATAAGGATTTCATTTTCTAACAAACAAACAACTAATTGCTGATGATGATGTTTCCCGCATGACTGACCATGATAGAAGACAAACATGGCTAGGATCAAGCATTTATAATCAAGCAGATTTAAATATGAAGGCTTCAATTTCTAATCACTCATTTGAGATGCAAGGATTGAAATTAACCAACAAATCACTCATCTGAGATGCAAGGATTGAAATTAACCAACAAATCACTCATTTGAGATGTAAGGATTGAAATTAACCAACAAATGACCAAGTTATTGGCATTTCTTAACGTATTCTCAATTGAATTTAGTAAGAAAAATGATAAAGAGAATCATCGAGCAAGATAAGAGGAAATAAACTTGAGGTGAATTTAGTTTTTTTTAGGAGATTCCTGTATCAAAATAAATAAATATATTGTAAGAAAAATAGAAAATTCAAGGCTTAGCACTAAGTCCTTATCTGTTTGCATTAGTTATGGATGAACTTACAAGGAATGTTCTTATGTTCTTGGCAAGATTAGGGAAGTAGGTCATGAGACTGTCTGTTTTACATATGCTGGGAACTGGTGTGGTCCATACTTCTCCTGGGTTGGGAAACAATGTTCTGCCTGTTTTTCCTAAGGGTGACATGTTGAATGCTCATCCACGTACTTCTGCTGGTTAAAAAACTTCAGGTAAGGGGCTTGAGAAGAGTCTTAATCAATTCTATCTCCTTGGTGAAGTTGGGGAAAATGTTGAGTCGGATCTAACTGATTTGGCTAATCAAGAGTCCAAGTCGGATGGGTTGTCTTCTTTCCTCTTGCCAAATAATGCATATGAGGAAATTGCTTCTCTTCATGCAGTTAAAAAGATTAAAGGTAAAGGTAGAGGTAAAGGGCCCTCTGGAAGGGGGGAGGTGGTAGAAAATTGAACCATTTAATTTAGGATTGGTTCTTGGAATAAAAGGGGACTTAATGATCCCCTTAAACAAAAAGAGGTTTGTACTTTGATTGTCTCTCAGAAATTGTGTTTGTGTGGGGTTTTGGAGATCAAAGTTAGGAGGGGGAACATGGTTATACTGCTACTCATTGTTTTCCTCAGAGCTGGGTTTCTATTGACAATTTGACCAACCTAGATATTGCTAGAATTGTTCTGGGTTGGGATCCTAATTTGCTGGCTGTGATGTCTTGACATTGCAGTAGTCAGTTGATCTGTATTAAGGTTGAGTGTTTGTCTAGTAGGAAGACATTCTTTGTTTCTATGGTTTATGGGTACAATAAATGTGGCTGATAGGAGGTTGTGGTCCGAAATGAGATACTTGTCTTCAATCATTAGCGATCAGCCTTGGATTCAGATGGGAGATTTTAATGTTGTTAGGAAAGCTTCTGAAAGGAATAGTGATTTTGATGCTGATGCTGCTGCTGCTACGGAGTTTAATCAATGTTTGTATGATATTGAGATGGATGAACTTGTAGCAAAAGCTTTCTGGTTTACCTGGACTAATAGAAGAGGAGTGGTGGGGCAAAAGATAAGTAGAATGGATAGAGCTGTGGTTAACTCTTCTTGGCTTGACTTTTTTCCTAAGTCTGTGATTATTTTGCATGCTCGTGGGATATCTGATCACTGTTCAGTTCTGGTTGATGTTCAGATTGAGACTTACTGTAAAAACCTTTTAAATTTTTTTAATTTTTGGATGGCATATGAGAAATTTGGGGAGTTGCTTTGGGACTGTTGGATGCAGCCTATGTCTGGTTCTGCTAGGTTTAGTTTGTCTTTGAAGCTGAGAGATTAAAACCTGTTTTGAGAGCATTGAATTCTCAAATTTATTCTGATATCACAAAAAAAGTTATGCTGCCAAGGAGAAGTTAGAAAAGCTTCAGGAAGAGTGCTTTGCGAATCCCCAAAACTTAGATTGTTGCAATCTTGTGAAGGAAACTTTGGTGAAGTTTAGAGAACTGAGTAATGTTGAGGAGGCTTTTATAAACCAAAAGTCAAGGATTAATTGGCTTGCTTTGGGGGATAAAAAATACCAAGTTTTTCCATCAAAGAGTTAATAGTCACAGAATGAGGTATGAAATTTTGGGCCTGGTAAATTCTGAAGGGGTCAGGTTGGAGGATCCTAAGGATATTAAAGAAGAAATCCTTAATTTCTATAAAGGTCTAATTCGTACTAAGTTCTCTCAATGAAGGGATGAATATTTGCCTTGGAATAGAAAACAGTGGAAGAAAACGGATTGATATTGGTGCGATCTGATCCATTATCAGAGATCAATCCTGAACTCGATGGATCATTAATTTTTCTAGTAAACGAAATAGAGGATTTCACTAAGTCGATTCTTAGGAAATCTCTAATCAAACCATTAAATTTAAATTGATTCATCAATTGTGAAATAAAATATTACGTGTGTATCTAGGGAATACTCGCTTCCAAGTGAATTCTCCCTAGATACATCTATTTAATTAAATTCTGGATCGAGCCCTAAGTAGTGCTTAAATGTGGTTATTCATGCTATAGTCCTAAAGGAGTTATGGGCTGCTCTGATAACTCTTGTGACTATGGAAGAAGTTAAGGCTGCTCTTATGAATATCAAAGGTGAAAAAGGCCCTGGCCTAATGGTTTTAATTCAGCTTTCTTTCAAAGGAACTGGAAGTGGTCGATGCAAATTTAGGGCAGGCTGTTAAGTATTTTTTTGAGTTGGGGTATATTTCGAAGGAATGGTGTAGAAATTTAATGTATAAAGAGAATTGTATTATTGATTGTTATCTTGATATATTACAATGATTCCT